TAAATCACGCTATATAAAGTGGCCCGGTTTTTCTTAAAGCCTTCTTAGGCACGGGACCAATTGCCTTTCTACTTACGGTATGTGCGAAAGCTACTTATGAATGAGCGCTCGGAACAAGATCTGCCCTTGAATCACTTTATTTCTGCAGCTGTTATTTGGAAAGGTGAACAACGGCGAGGTTTGTCTGCGACATATGTTTAAGCGAAACTTTCGGTGTTATTACGTAAGCGGCGGATGAGCGCCGCGTATGAATATCACCTACACTGCAACTGTATTTGCAGTGCAACGACGCTCCCTGATTGGTCAGTCATGCGTGCAGCTTGACGCCACAGGCAATAAGTACTTCAAAAATACAGCGCGAAAGAATGCATTACGTATCTGGTCTTTATCAAGACTCTTAGCCATTAGAAAAGCCCTTTTAACCTTTGTTTTGCAAGAACCGCTAATTTATGAGTGAATTAGTTCTGCCAGCATTGATTCATTTTAATTTGCTGAATGTTTTCTTTTCAAAATATGTGTAGTGGAACAAGATTTCTTATAATTTGCAAATAAAATTTACCAAGAGCAAACCAGTTGCAATAAAGCAATCCTTCAAGTGAATTTGCTATTCTTGCTCTTTTTACTGCAAATTAGCCTGTCAATTTGCATAAAATCCAGCCTTTCATTACTAAAACAGACATTCCACATCAGTGATAATCATTGTTTACCAAATGATGTTCCTGTATTGAATTTGAGTCAAGTACACCATCTGAAGCAACCATTGCTTCAAAATGGAACTAAGCAAATTGGTGTCACTTTCATTGTGGGTACGAGTCCACTTCAGTCCCCTCTTTTTTTAATTTATTACAGCTCAACAGTGTATTCCTTTATATGTATGCATGTACTTAAAGGAATACGCTGAAAGAAATATACCTGAAATTATGTCATGCCAGGTCAGTACCAGGTGAAGTTGGCACTGTTTGAATGCTGTTCCAGTCAAGATTTTTGCTCCAGTTTGAAGACTTGCACCAGCTTGCTTGGTTCAGTATTAAGTCAGTCTCAAAGCAGACTAGAACAGGTTTCATCATCCAAGCCCTGAGGGGATCATGTGCGCCCTGCTGGATGTAGTTCACAAAGAAAACAAAAGTGTCCGTACATGAAAATACATGTATAAGCGGTATGAAACCATGTCATAGTATACTGGACATGGTATATTGTATACTAGACTAACACTGGCACAAAGTTTAAACAGCTTTTTCTTCCCATGGTTTAGCACATGACCAAACTATGGGAAAACCATGGTTTTGGACCCAAGGGCCTGGGGTCACTGGCAGGATTTGAATTACGAACCAAGATCAATTCAGTATTTGTATCATTCTCTCAGACCCAAATAAATCCATCTGTGGTCAATACTTTGTCCTGATATAAATAAATTTTTTTAAGGATGTGATCAGTGCTGATTTGTTCATAAATCTGGCTTGTATATTTAGACTTTCCTCAGACTGTCTAGCGATATATTTGATACAGTGTATGTACATTTTTGTGGTTTTAATGAGGTTGTAACCACAGTTTCATATAAATTTTTTGTTAAAAATGGCTAGAGAATCTGATAAGTGTGTGCCACCAGTCTGCAAAAATGCGTCATCAACAATATTGCATGTGTTCATATTGTGTTCAATTGTGTCTGTAAATTGTATGATTTAGATAAAAATCAAGCAATTAATGCTTGAGAAATACCTTGAGCAATTTTAATGGCAATTTAAGAGGTGTTGTAGTAATTGAAGATTTTTGAACCTGCTATTCTACTCAAGATGCATTTGTTAAAAATATCTTTGGAATGGTAAACAATATCCATTTGATATTTATTACTATCACTGAACGTAGGAAAACTGCGGAGCAAATTCTATTGTGAGATCAATGTTGCCCAACTCAGAACAAAGGCATAGCTCGTGTCTTATTTGAAGTTGGCTTAATTTGCTCAGCGTTACCCTTGCTTAGAGTATACATGAAGATAGATTTATTTAGTGTTTTGACAAAGCTTGAAAAACCATCTACTGTACACTTAATTCTGTTGGCTATGTAAATGTACAATGTAAACAAACAGATATGTCAAGGGTTTTTTGGCCAGTGTGGAAGGCCAGGAAAAAAAGATTGTTGTATCATGGAATAATTGAGAAAAATAATAATATTTATAGGGTAATCTACCAATTTAAAGTATTTTAAACACTGTACTTAGATTCTTTGCACTCTTTGTTTTGGAATAGCGTGCAGTATTACGTAATAATTGTCAATTCACCCATATCTATAGCCTATATTTGCATGTTCCAATATAGGGCAAAACAACAGAAACATCGAGTAAATGTAAGGTTACTTCTTTACATGCATGTTTTTTAATAGCGTAAATGCAACCACTCATTAGACTGCTTACATGTATATATGAATGGAAGGGCCTAAATGATTGATAGAAACTTTACGTTACATGTTTAAGAATCCCATGCAGTGAATTACGTATCAAACAATTGTATTCGCTCACCTGGAGCCTTCAAATGTATGTTCCAATATAGGGCAAAACATCAGAAAGGCTGAATAAGGGTATACTTCTTAACACGCGTGTTTTGAAATACCTCTTTGATACAACCATTCCTTAGACTCCATATATACAGTGAAGGGAAGGGTATGGTGGAACTTCTTACATGGTCGAGATAAACATGATTACGTAACATGCCTTGTGTGTGGCAGCACAATCTGCTATTTGCATAAATGGGATCGTTTACCACCATTACAGTTGAGTGGTTAATATGTTATTCAAATACATGTATAATTATTATTGTTTGATATTAAAGAAGAGAATATTGAAAGTATACTTGTTTTGGGTATATGAAAGTTACATTCACTGTTAATACAAGTTTATTTTCTCCTGGGACATTGGGGAAACTACAAAGTATTATCTTCGTGTGGTTGGAGTATATTCAAATTCTTGTAGGTTCAGTAATTCAAACCCAAATAGGTGAGAGTTTTGTGGTGGTGAAGTGTTTTTATTTTCAATTTACAGCTACATGCATGTATAAATATAATGAAAGTACTTTAATTTCTTACCTGTGGCATGTTTCCAGAGTCTGGCATGGTTTGCTGACAGAATTAATTCTTAACNATAAGAACTTTGAGATTCTAGTAATTAGAAAAGTAGTGCCTCTTTTGTCCCTGAAAAATGATTAACCGACACACAAAACACTATCTGAAACGGAACAAAGAGATTTGACTTGTCTCCTGGAAACTTCGGCCGCCGCAAAAAATGTAAACAACATTGTCCGCACCAATCAGGTTAAGATAAAAATAATTAAAATAAAGCCTTTGGGCATTTGTAATTGATTCCAAACAATACAGACACGATACAAAAGAAGCTACAACGAAGCGTTTTCAAAAGGCTGGTATATTTTTAATTGCCTTCTTTTTGCTTTCAATCAGTCTTCAGTTCGCCTGCTCGTTTTGTTTACATTGACTTGTAAGTACACACACTGAGGAAGGAAGGATGTAATGAACCTAAGTGCTGACGTTTCCGAAGAAGTTTCATTGGAAAGTAAACAGCCCTTTAATTTGCCATGAAAATTTTCAAGACAAATTAGTCAGGATTAGACCTGAAAACAAATATAAATATTAAAAAATGCCCGTGACCTTTGGAATAATAGACTGCACGTACTTGCCCTGAACCCCAAGATTCACTGATGAGGAATGGTGGGCACTTAAACAATTTCCTGTCTGAATTAACTTTAATTTCATTTTTTTTTTTTCGATCTTTTAAAGTGGCGGTCTTGCATTACGGGTTGGATTTCAAGGAACCGAATTCCACCGTGCGTTGTTTTTCTGTACATTGCAGAAATTTTTTCACGTTTCTAGCGACAAAATAGTTTTTTAAGTATCAGTTTTCGAGGAACAAAACTTGACATTTTCCCTGATATCGCGGAACTCGCACTTGAAATCGTTTATGTATATCTTATCAGATTTGTTTCAATGCAACCCACGCCAAACCGGTAACTGGTTCATTTCAAATTCATATGTCTGTTCAAATTTGTCATTTGTATATCAGGTTGAAAACATTGCTGTCTAAATGCTGCATCGTGATAGTTTTTTGGATATTTTTTTGAGCTTAGAAAGTCAGTCGTTGCGAGTTTCTTCATTTTCTCATTCTCTCGCTGAGATTCAGAATTAAAGATTTATACCACGTGAATAATCTGGACTACGCACTACGTTATTTACTATCAAGTAAACATTGTACAGACCTGAAATGTATCAGGGTTTGCAAACTACAATTACATATTCAACCAAACGGGAAAAAAGTTGATTGAAACTTTAGACCAATGTTTATAAAACTGAGTCAGCTCGGAATATTATTTTGGGCGATCCTTGTTCTATTTCAAAAGTTCATTGAAATTCATATATTCGATATTAGACGAAAAGGCTTAACTGACGTCAAACAAAAGAAAAAATATTGATCACTAACAGCAGTGACACAAGGTTTAAATTCCATTAAAATCCCATGTTTTTCACTTCGAATTTAATTCCAAGAGCTAATTGAGCAACATTTTGCGATTTTGCATTTAGAGAAGAAGTTACAAGTGCTGCAGTATCGCCGAGAGTGACATGAATCTGTGAGCAAATATCTTTTCAGCTATAACTTACTCCCGCTAAACGCTGACGTCTTCCACTCAATCGACTAAAATAGCGTGACGTTAAAGAACAAATCCACTCAGTGACAAAAGGAAGCGCCTAGAAACAATGAAGAGAATTAAGAAGTACTAAATAATGACAAGGTAGAAAGATTTAGACCACTTTACAATCGAAACAATTTTGATATTGGGATTTCCGCGTATAAACTTGTCAACAAACATTGCGGGGTTGTGAACGCATTAAGAACAAGTGAAAACAGTGTACGGTACAATCGACCAATCATAGCCATTGACGTCACAATAGCCTTGTCACCTCGTCCTTCGTCACGCCCCCTTCGTTCCCACCTATCCCGTTGACTATTTGGTTGTAATATTAGAGCGGCAAAGAAACACAGGGCGCTTTTGTAGTTCTTCGCGGAAATTTCATAGCGAGACGGTAATCCGATTCCTTCTAAATCTTCCTCAATTTGAGCAGACACGTTGAGAAACGTTTTGACACATTTTTTACGGCTGTAAAAAGCTTCATCGAAGAAGACACACGCAGTCGAAGAATCTGCAACGTGGTACAAGGAGTCCCCAGCAGTGTAAACTGAACAGATAAACATGGTGTTTGTGGACGAAGATAGAAAGCCTTTGCACGCCGCAGATTGGACGATAATAGCGGTTTATTTCCTGGCTTGTATCATTGTTGGACTGTGGGTAAGTTTAACACTTCTTAGTTCTTTTGCGAGGCATTATACTAATGGCCATATTTGCTCTGTACTGGTCGCTTTGCAAAGGGGTCGTCTCGTAGTAACTCGGATGATCGATCCAGTGAATATTTGCCAGCGTGGCTTATGCAAATCTTTAAATTCTGCAAGGTTTCGACTGTGAAACTGGCTAGTATTTGCCTTTTGCAGCTAAAATATCATTCAATTCGAGAAAGAAAATCGCCTGGCAACGAACCGTCACACGGCGAAATGAAGATGTTTTTACGATGCGATTCAAAGCGGTTTTCAATTTCCTTCGCCCGTGTGGGAACTTAGAGTAATTGAAGATTTATACTGCGAAGCGTTGTTTTAAACCTACTGCACAAAACTGCGCGTCTCGTTAATCACCTTTTGTTTGAATTGTTAAATGAATGGCAAAGTAAATCACGCTATATAAAGTGGCCCGGTTTTTCTTAAAGCCTTCTTAGGCACGGGACCAATTGCCTTTCTACTTACGGTATGTGCGAAAGCTACTTATGAATGAGCGCTCGGAACAAGATCTGCCCTTGAATCACTTTATTTCTGCAGCTGTTATTTGGAAAGGTGAACAACGGCGAGGTTTGTCTGCGACATATGTTTAAGCGAAACTTTCGGTGTTATTACGTAAGCGGCGGATGAGCGCCGCGTATGAATATCACCTACACTGCAACTGTATTTGCAGTGCAACGACGCTCCCTGATTGGTCAGTCATGCGTGCAGCTTGACGCCACAGGCAATAAGTACTTCAAAAATACAGCGCGAAAGAATGCATTACGTATCTGGTCTTTATCAAGACTCTTAGCCATTAGAAAAGCCCTTTTAACCTTTGTTTTGCAAGAACCGCTAATTTATGAGTGAATTAGTTCTGCCAGCATTGATTCATTTTAATTTGCTGAATGTTTTCTTTTCAAAATATGTGTAGTGGAACAAGATTTCTTATAATTTGCAAATAAAATTTACCAAGAGCAAACCAGTTGCAATAAAGCAATCCTTCAAGTGAATTTGCTATTCTTGCTCTTTTTACTGCAAATTAGCCTGTCAATTTGCATAAAATCCAGCCTTTCATTACTAAAACAGACATTCCACATCAGTGATAATCATTGTTTACCAAATGATGTTCCTGTATTGAATTTGAGTCAAGTACACCATCTGAAGCAACCATTGCTTCAAAATGGAACTAAGCAAATTGGTGTCACTTTCATTGTGGGTACGAGTCCACTTCAGTCCCCTCTTTTTTTAATTTATTACAGCTCAACAGTGTATTCCTTTATATGTATGCATGTACTTAAAGGAATACGCTGAAAGAAATATACCTGAAATTATGTCATGCCAGGTCAGTACCAGGTGAAGTTGGCACTGTTTGAATGCTGTTCCAGTCAAGATTTTTGCTCCAGTTTGAAGACTTGCACCAGCTTGCTTGGTTCAGTATTAAGTCAGTCTCAAAGCAGACTAGAACAGGTTTCATCATCCAAGCCCTGAGGGGATCATGTGCGCCCTGCTGGATGTAGTTCACAAAGAAAACAAAAGTGTCCGTACATGAAAATACATGTATAAGCGGTATGAAACCATGTCATAGTATACTGGACATGGTATATTGTATACTAGACTAACACTGGCACAAAGTTTAAACAGCTTTTTCTTCCCATGGTTTAGCACATGACCAAACTATGGGAAAACCATGGTTTTGGACCCAAGGGCCTGGGGTCACTGGCAGGATTTGAATTACGAACCAAGATCAATTCAGTATTTGTATCATTCTCTCAGACCCAAATAAATCCATCTGTGGTCAATACTTTGTCCTGATATAAATAAATTTTTTTAAGGATGTGATCAGTGCTGATTTGTTCATAAATCTGGCTTGTATATTTAGACTTTCCTCAGACTGTCTAGCGATATATTTGATACAGTGTATGTACATTTTTGTGGTTTTAATGAGGTTGTAACCACAGTTTCATATAAATTTTTTGTTAAAAATGGCTAGAGAATCTGATAAGTGTGTGCCACCAGTCTGCAAAAATGCGTCATCAACAATATTGCATGTGTTCATATTGTGTTCAATTGTGTCTGTAAATTGTATGATTTAGATAAAAATCAAGCAATTAATGCTTGAGAAATACCTTGAGCAATTTTAATGGCAATTTAAGAGGTGTTGTAGTAATTGAAGATTTTTGAACCTGCTATTCTACTCAAGATGCATTTGTTAAAAATATCTTTGGAATGGTAAACAATATCCATTTGATATTTATTACTATCACTGAACGTAGGAAAACTGCGGAGCAAATTCTATTGTGAGATCAATGTTGCCCAACTCAGAACAAAGGCATAGCTCGTGTCTTATTTGAAGTTGGCTTAATTTGCTCAGCGTTACCCTTGCTTAGAGTATACATGAAGATAGATTTATTTAGTGTTTTGACAAAGCTTGAAAAACCATCTACTGTACACTTAATTCTGTTGGCTATGTAAATGTACAATGTAAACAAACAGATATGTCAAGGGTTTTTTGGCCAGTGTGGAAGGCCAGGAAAAAAAGATTGTTGTATCATGGAATAATTGAGAAAAATAATAATATTTATAGGGTAATCTACCAATTTAAAGTATTTTAAACACTGTACTTAGATTCTTTGCACTCTTTGTTTTGGAATAGCGTGCAGTATTACGTAATAATTGTCAATTCACCCATATCTATAGCCTATATTTGCATGTTCCAATATAGGGCAAAACAACAGAAACATCGAGTAAATGTAAGGTTACTTCTTTACATGCATGTTTTTTAATAGCGTAAATGCAACCACTCATTAGACTGCTTACATGTATATATGAATGGAAGGGCCTAAATGATTGATAGAAACTTTACGTTACATGTTTAAGAATCCCATGCAGTGAATTACGTATCAAACAATTGTATTCGCTCACCTGGAGCCTTCAAATGTATGTTCCAATATAGGGCAAAACATCAGAAAGGCTGAATAAGGGTATACTTCTTAACACGCGTGTTTTGAAATACCTCTTTGATACAACCATTCCTTAGACTCCATATATACAGTGAAGGGAAGGGTATGGTGGAACTTCTTACATGGTCGAGATAAACATGATTACGTAACATGCCTTGTGTGTGGCAGCACAATCTGCTATTTGCATAAATGGGATCGTTTACCACCATTACAGTTGAGTGGTTAATATGTTATTCAAATACATGTATAATTATTATTGTTTGATATTAAAGAAGAGAATATTGAAAGTATACTTGTTTTGGGTATATGAAAGTTACATTCACTGTTAATACAAGTTTATTTTCTCCTGGGACATTGGGGAAACTACAAAGTATTATCTTCGTGTGGTTGGAGTATATTCAAATTCTTGTAGGTTCAGTAATTCAAACCCAAATAGGTGAGAGTTTTGTGGTGGTGAAGTGTTTTTATTTTCAATTTACAGCTACATGCATGTATAAATATAATGAAAGTACTTTAATTTCTTACCTGTGGCATGTTTCCAGAGTCTGGCATGGTTTGCTGACAGAATTAATTCTTAACCAATTTCATCACAGTGTACGTGCCAAGATGACGGTTTTGTTGCCGACTTCAAATGAAATTTTGGCTCAATTCTTTTCTTCATCAGTATGACTTCTCTGACAATGTCTCTCTTCCATTTAAACTGAAGAAAATTTTCTTGTGAAATCATGCTTTTTAAAAATATACAAGTAAGACAACACAGCAAGAGATTAGACATCGCTCTCACAGACACTCAGCTTTTAATATTAAAATCTATTCCTTGCATCCGGGACACGGTGCTTTGATCTATAAACTCCAGCCGTGCATGTACAGCGCATGCTACAAGCATGCTTTGGACTCATGATAAATAAACAGTGGCTACATGTATATATGTATGTGTATTCTAAAATAAATTAACCCTTACCCTCAAGGCACATGGCAGTTTTTCCCTTATCAGCAAATAAAGACTCGCTCGTGTTGCACAAACATTTTGTTTTAAACTCATTAGCTACTTAAGCTAATTAAAGAGCTAACGAGCTCCAGGTCTTGGAGTATAAATAAAGTATATGTACCATGCATGTGTACAGTACATCATTTGAATACAGCCACTGATCAGCCTATAAGAGAATTGATACCAGCTATGAAGAAGGTGGTCATTTTGAGAGAAATTACTTTAGAATGCAAGAATGAAACATTTCAAAAACATATTGATCAACTTTCTAATATTTTAGGTTCATGTCTAACCCAAAAGCACACAACAGCTCTAATAGTGCATACATGTACATGCAGCTTGATGTGAAACAAGTCAAGATATTATGCAGCAAAAAGAAAAGAAAAGAAAAGAAAATTTAAAGAAAATGATTAAAAACTTGCAGGGGTGGTCAACCATGTCTTACAATGTTATGCACATATAGGAAGGGTTCACATAGCTCACAATGCAGGCGTATTTTGGCAAGCATGCGCATTTTGATCAAGCAAGCGCCATCTTGGATTCAAATTTGGAAGAGGCTTGGGGAGAGACGAAATGGCGTTCTGGATAGTGGGAGTTAGGCTGACAGAGGGACCCCCTCCCTGCCCACTACTTTTAAGCCAACATGGCGGTGAATCTACTCAATCGTGAGCTAATTCATGAACACATAGAAAACGCCTGCACTGCAGGCTAGGGGTCACAATTTTATGACCTCACGATCAAAGAGCAGATCATAACAAGAACATTTTCCTGGCAAAAATTCATAGAGATCTGTCAAATATTTCAGGGTTATGAATTTGTGCATGAATTGGCCATGGCACTCTTAGGGAGTTAAGTGACTTCTGTATTATGAGTTAATAACGTACAATGATTATTTCAGTCCAAATTCAGGAAACAAAGAGGA